ATTTTCCTGAAGATCTGAAGGAACTAAATTTAAGCTGTTCCAAACGTCTGACCACTTAGTATGTATAAATAACTATCTTTCCCTACAGAAACTTTGACTCTCCAGATACTGAAGAATATTCCAGTCAAACAAATGGAGCTAGGAAAATAGTTCAGTCAGCAGTGGGCTGGCCTTAGAAACACGAGGACTTCAGTTCAATCCCACATTTTCAAAAGAAGAGCCCACATTTAAAATGCATTTCTTCAGGAACCCACATTTAAGACAGAGGAAATGAAAAGAAAGGCTAGACATGGGGGCACACACTTGTAATCCCGGTGCTGGGAAGGTGGAGACGGGCAGACGCTGGGGCTTGCTGGCCAGCCATTCTGGCCTGCTTGGCAATCTCTTGGCCAGTGAGATACCTATCTCAAAACAAACGAAAAGGAAGACAGCGTACAAGGAGTGACACCCCAGTTGTCCCCTAGGCTGCATGTATACTTCCACATACATGTGCATTCACACATACAAACACGTACACACACACACACACACACACACACATGCACGCACGCACGCACGCACGCACACACGCACGCACGCACGCACACGCTGTTTTGAAGAAATGCATCCTTCTAAGTCACCCATTTCACAATTCTGTCTTTGGAATCGGGTGACTCTTTTAATCAATGGTATCCTACAATTCTAATTGACAGTGTTTTTCCTTCCTTTATGCTGAAGAATGGCATAGCATTTCAGATTCAGATGAAATAGAAGCCACCGCTGTTTTAAAGTTGTTCTGAGGCAAAGCATTTAAACATTAAAGCGACTTACTGTCCTGAGAGCGTGCTGCTGTGGGAGCACAGGGAGAGGGAGGCAGCCAAGGGAGCTGCTGAGGGGAAAAAGAGCGGCCTCCCGGCAGTGACCACCACTTAAACCCACCACAGTTCCCCTCCTGTCTCTTTAAACGGCGAGTTCTAGCAGGGTTTCTAAAATGGAAAGCCATCTTTACATTTCTGGAGTTAAGCCCAACCTGGCTATGGTCCAGTGTTAGCTTTACAAACAAGTTCCATTTTTTTCTTTTCCTTTTAAATCTTGTGTGTGTGTGTGTGTGTGTGTGTGTGTGTGTGTG